TTGGTGCAACCGGTACTGGTAGAGAGACAACATCTCAAGCCACCTGCAGGGCCTCTGGTGTGGAGGGCACCTGAATGTGGGCACTGGCACCCAGGGAGGTCAGCTCGGAGTGGGCCAGGCTACTCCGCTCGACTTGAGTCGGAGGCCGCAGGGGATCGAGAGCTGCCCAACACGGGTCCAGTCTCTCCCCCAGCCTTGCTCCGGTGTCATGGCGAAGAAGATTTCTTCTTTGCCTTTTTTGAGTGTCCCGTGGACAGCGAGCAGTGCTGACTGGTGGATTGCACCGATGGGTCGCTGCGCACTGATGCCATGGTGCTCGGTGCCAACTCGGAGCGGCGCAACGGTGTCAGGGCCGACTATCAAAATGTCTCGGAGCCGTATGTCCCGCTCCTTCTTGGTCCGAGGCTTGAAGGATCTGCAAATCCTGCAGCGATCGCTGAGGTGGGTTTCCCGCAGACAGCATAAACAGTCCGCGTGCGGATCACTCACGGGCATAGGCCGTTTGCAAGTGTCGCACGACTTAAAGCCCAGGGTGCGGGGCATGTCCCAACCCAGGCGCACTTAACTATTCTAACTAAACTTTTTCTTTTTTTCTTTTTTAACTACAGGTACTAACTAAACTATGAACTAAACGAAGTCCAAGAGGGAAAGCTACAGCAGAGCAGTTTCAAGGCACCTTCACTGTCGGCAAGAAGGAACTGGGGGAGGGGGGGAACCATGCCATGGCAGCGCCACTCCAGGGGTTGCTAGGGGTACTCCCCTACGGGTACTGCTAAGGGAAAAACTTCTGGCACCGGTGCACGTGGCGAGCATGCACACCTATTGTGCAATGCACATGAGCAATCACTTGAAGAAGAACAGACACTGACCATACAAGCTACATGTCTCATTCTTTTTTCCAGAAACTTGTGCCTCTTGGGTTAAATTTATAAACACTTATATTTCTGTTCTCTTATATTGTGGTATGAAGGCTACAGGGTAAGATCCTGGCCCACACTTCAGCCTTCTACAAGGCCTTGCATTGGTCCTCTGTACCACATGTGAATTATACCCTTACTCACTACATATGCATGATCTGAAGAAGTGACAGAGACCACCTCATTGAGGAGATGAACTAATGGAGAAGAAGTAACAAGCATTAATTCTTAACTCCAGGCCAATCATCAAGAGCTTATCTATCTGAGAAAATGTTATTGTGTTCAAACATGAATGTGAAGAACTGAGTTAGCTGACACTATGCTGACCATGACTGACCAGTCAGTGTAGCCTAGAATAAATCATTTTCAGTATCATGTCAGCTAATAATTATGATCACAAATAGGATACATTTCTCTTTATTCAAACTTCCCTTTACTATAAATAAATTGTTTTAGTCAAGATTCAGCTACTGATTTGGGGGAATATTTAACTTGTTTCCGCTTGCCGAGAGAAGATTATTCTTCACAAGTGGGTCTCACTCTTATAAAAGGTATAATCTGATAGACACAACAGAAGATATTGTAACTGAATGAACATGCTGTTTTACAGCCTGTTGGGGTTTTATTTATCTATTCATTTATTTTGTGTGACAAGGTATTTATTAACAATCTTGAGTTCTATGCTTCTCTAAATCATGGCACCCTCTAACAGGTGGTAAGAGCCTGTCTGTGAAAAAGAGTGGGGCTGCATGTCTGCACTTCTACCATGAGAAGCCATTATTAATAATTAAGCAAAACCCAATCTTTATTTCTCCAGACTATAATTTTAGTACATTTGAGAGAATTACTTTGCTAAACACCTTCACTTGTGCATTTAATTTTTTTTTATTTTCACACACACACACACACACACACACACACACACACTCCCAAAGTTCTCACCTGTACATCTGTGTTTTTTCGGTGCAATTTTAATGCTTTATAGCATGCTTCCAGCCAATATAATTTTTCTCCCTCTTCCTCTGCTTTTCTTTCCTCTAAGTCTTGGTTTAAAAATATTGTTTCCGCTTGAAAATACAGACAAGAGGGTGTTAAATTAAATATAGTTATGTCTCAGGCCATATTTCTAATTTTAAAATGCATGCACACATTTATTTGCATGTTCACATAAAGAATACTGCAGATGTTAAAACATGACCCTACGACACTTCTACATTGCCATTCATCACAGAGTTACCGTGATCTTCCAGCACTCTTCTGTCATTAGGAAAAGAAGGGTACACTGAAATGGCTAAGAGAAGTATTGGGAAAGAGTAAAATAAAATGTGGTTTTAAATTGTCAGTGAATTTCAGTACTTATGAAAATGAATGGTTGCCAACATGGTACTAAAGGTTACACAAAGTAGGCCCAGTTCTGCTATCTGCTACACCTTTGGTACCCTTATTCACACGAGCAACCCAACTGACTGCAGTGTGACACAATTATTCACACTTGTAAGGGGTTACAGGATCCCACCCCTAACAAACTAGCAGACACCCACATTTGAAAATTGTGGCCTTAATGCAGCTTCAAACAAAGCTCAAACCTATCAGGTTATTTCTAGAACACAGACACCACCCTGCTGGGAAACAGAAGTAAACTGCCATAGCAGTATTAGTATGCAGATACACAAACCAATCATCAACCTTGGATTCAGAATTCCTATATTCACTACCCTCACAATAGTTTTTAAACTAAGAAGGGATTATCCAGTATGCAGCCTATGAATAGATATGTTAGTGCTCATCAAAACACTATACCAACTGAGCGGAGGGTAGGTGACGCGGTTAACTGGTACAGATACTGGCATGCTACAACAAAACAATGAGCTCTAACAGGTGAGCAGGATAAAACACTGTTGCATACCTAGCCTTGTTAACCCCTACTCCTGTTTGAAATCTACTAGTGGCAAAATACAGAAGAATTATGAAACCACAGGAAATTACGCTAGCACACCAACTGTGGAAACAAACATTTGTCTATTAATCATTTTATTTAGGTAATTAGGAAGGAATTTACTTACTGAGGAGAGCTAAACAACCGAGTGCTGCAGCCTGTAACTTTGCATTTGCAGAGTATCTTATAACAGCCTTCACAATGACTTCGTGTACCTCATTTAATACCAGGATGTTGAAAAAATTTCCTAAAAGTAGATTAAAATTTTATCTGAATATATCTAGCTAGATCTATATCTGTATACAGAGACAATATAGCTATATCCACATGCATAGGACACACACACTGTGCTTGAAGAAAAACAGCAGATGAGGCAGTTAATTTGTTTGACGTAGTAAGTAAATTGCTTTGTGAAATGAGGATAACTGGCCAAGAATAAGAAAAACAGGGAACTGGGTTCTTTGGTTTCTCCTCCTCATTCATGTAAGAAGGACCCATGAGGATCCTCTATATTCCACTGAATCCTTCAAAGAGGATTTTATCTACCTTCAGATGAGACTTGCTGGATGTGACTCTCTAGCACCTATAAACACCATTCCTTTAGGCAGCTACAGAAGGTGTTCATGAAGAGCAAAACAAAGTGCTCACCTCTGTCAAAAGGCAGAGTTTGCAGCCACTGCATTATTTCCAAGCTATTCCTGCCTTCAAATGATTAAGGGCTTGTCTACACTTACATTTTATAGCGCTCTAACTTGCTGGCTCATGTGGTGTGAAAAATCACCCCCCGGAGCACAGCAAGTCTGAGCGCTTTAAAGCGCTGAGAGCTATGCTCCCAGCGCTCAGAGCTAATCCCCTCGTGGAGGGGCGCTTTGAAGTTTCCAGTGTAGACATACCCTAACCAAAGTATAGACCTGAACTTTGATTTCTGCACTGACACTTGACTGACCCTATAAGGGAAGCTATTTAACTGTTTTGACCTATATTCTGAAATAGAGATCTCTCCACACAAAATAGATCAGGGTTTAGCACAAGCTTCTGATTATATATATATATATATATATAAAAAAAGAGTTTACACACTTTGAAACAATGGAAAGATAAATAATCTTTGCTGTATATATAATGAGCATCTCTAAAAAGAAACATTTACTATGGTATGTGCAGCATTTCCTGCCGTAGGTTCAATGTAAGGAATACTGCAAAGAACAAACAAATAAAAACCAAATTTCCCTATCCTCCCCAAGGAAAATAAATACTACATGTAAATCTTATTTTAGGAGTACCCACTTCATTAAATATATTCTGCTAGTTACATCTATTGTATCTGATATTTAATTTTGTTTAGTAATTCTTAATTAAGAGAGAGTTGAATCACTCTACCAATATGACAGAAAAAAATCAAAGTTTTAAAAGGAATAACAGTTTTCTCTAGCCCTTCAGATGAAATGCAAAACTGAAGAACATACCACTTGTGGTCTGATGGTGCTTTTCTGACACACAATAGGAAGCTAACCTTGCTTACTCCAACTCACTATAGAGTTGATCCTGCAAGGGGTTGAGCACCCTCAAATTTCTATTGCCTTCAATAGGAGATAAACAGGATCAGCATCTTGCAGGATTGAGCTCTATGGCTCAAATTCAAAAAAGCATTTAAGCACATCTGCATTATTCTGAAATGTCTAACTTAATTCCCCTTGTAAATGGATATGTAGTTATGTAGTGGTGCCCTGTTCTGTTAAATAGCTGTTTCTTGCTGCTTTTCTTTATGTAGCTTACAGGTACTTAGGTATAAAACAATTTGAGAGCCTCTCTCTAGAGGCTCATCTAAAAGAGAAAGGTATGAATGTGACACATATAATGAACATATTTTGTACTGTAAATGCCTTTAAATTACCAGATCATCTTCAGACCTGCAAAAGTGGTGATTCTATCTTGTCACACCTTAGAGACTAACAAATTTATTTGGGCATAAGCTTTCGTGGGCTAAAACACACTTTATCAGATGTATGCAGTGGAAAATACAGTAGGAAGATATACATACATAGTACATGAAAAGATGGAAGTTGCCTTACCTGTGTTTTCCAAACCATGCATCTGATGAAGTGGGTTTTAGCCCACGAAAGCTTATGCCCAAATAAATTTGTTAGTCTCTACGGTGCCACAAGTACTCCTCGTTGTTTTTGCTGATACAGACTAACACGGCTACAACTCTGAAACCTGTCTTGTCACAGTTGAACATGAGCTATTGAATTTGCAAGCTTTCACCATTTCTCTAATTTAAACAAAAATTATAGATGAGACAGAGCAAGATTTAACTTGACTGTGAGTTACACCAGGCATAACCAAAAGTAAAATATCAACAGGTCAGACTGACACTCTAGAAGCAGCCGTACAATTCAGGAGGTCCAAATCCAGGTCCTAAACTTTCACCCAAACTTCTCGGGCAAGCAGGGGCTGCAAAGACTATAGAGCAGGGGTCGGCAACCTTTCAGAAGTGGTGTGCCGAGTCTTCATTTATTCACTCTAATTTAAGGTTTTGTGTGCCAATAATATATTATAACGTTTTTAGAAGGTCTCTTTCTATAAGTCTATAATATATAACTAAACTATTGTTGTATGTAAAGTAAATAAGGTTTTTAAAATGTTTAAGAAGCTTCATTTAAAATTAAATTAAAATGCTGAGCCCCCAGGACCGGTGGCCAGGACCCAGGCAGCGTGAGTGCCACTGAAAATCAGCTTGCATGCAGTCTTCGGCACACGTGCCATACGTTGCCTACCCCTGCTATAGAGCATAACACTATGTTCATTGGGAGGGTGGAGGAGCACCTTGTTTTGCTCTTGATTAACCCCAGTCAACACTGAAGCATTTCTACAATCCAGAAGCAACCATGTCCAACTTTCCTTGGCCAGAGGGAGGGTTACTGTGATGTGGATCTTTGGGACCACTATAAGGAGGATAAATGAGATCCCAGAGTACGATTTCTACAAGAAAATATAGTACCATCGGTTGTTTCTCAGGTACTCAGCATCAGCACCTAAAATATGAAATCCTAGAAGGAAATATCTTCCATACCGTAATAACTCTAAAAAGAAGGCTTTGATACTATGCACACATAGGTGTCATTGTTGCCTTGTGGTTCTCCTGTCTGTTTTTCTCCCCTCTCTCTTGGCTTGTACTTAGACTAAGATTTTCAGGGAAGAGGCTGTCTTTTTGTTCTGTATTTATACAGCGTCATGTCTACATGACCAGGGCCTCAGGAGCTACCACAATACAAATAAATTCTTTATTCGTCTGGCTAGATATAAACATTAATCTAGTTCTACTCTAAAAGTTAACTGGTAGTGGTTGTCACTAGCAACACCGTCAGCTGTTAAAGAAGCAAACAAACAATGAAAAATTTCAGTATAAACTACAGTTTCATGAACTTACCCAGTGTAAGCTTGTGCAACAAACAGCAACCCACTTTCTGAATTGGTTCACTGTTAGGGAATGTTTTCATCGTTTCCACTATGACATTGTAACATCTAACATTTCCAGACATGAGCACTTCAACATTGCTGGCTAAAGTAAAAAAAACACTGTTATGCTTCTTAAATAAGAAAAATTAAATGATAAGGTTTGAATATGTACATGTATTTCAAAAACTGGATCTATACTTCGGTTTTAGCCATTGTGACAATTTTTATTATTTCTACTTATTTCCACACAATGAAAGACATTAGCTAAACCTATACTTACAAATGCTGTTTTACTTCAACTTAGAGTCACTTAGAGTGTGAATTGTTACTGATCTACTTCCATTATATATTTAGCCATTTAACAGAAATGATACCTTTTACTTATATAGCACCTTTCATAAAGAGATCTCCAGGTGCTTTACAAATATTAATTAATCTGTAAACAGGTAGGTAAATATTTCTTTTCACATTCTACAGATGAGTAAACAGAAGTATACAGTATTTAAGTGATTAGCTCAAGGATATACAGTACATCAGTTCAGTGGTAGGGCCTGGAATACAACCCAGAAATGTTGACCCGTAATGCCCTGCTCTAACTATTGTAATTCTAATCTCTTCTCCTTTTTGTGGGCAAGTTAACATCACTTATTTTGGCTGTTAACTCTGCCCATTCAATAGATAGAGAATGCTTAGAAGTGTTCTGCTAAGGTATGCTTCTGGCTTTTTGAATGATGTGCCAAAGTGCAGGTTTTAATTACAAATATTTCTACACCTAGTTTGAAGTGGAGGTAGTATATAGCAAACAACAATAAAAAATTCTTATTAATGATTAGTGAAAGAAGCTGAGCAGATCATCTTCTAATAGAAATGGAGACAAAAAAGCAGGTCCACCTCTATCAAAGTCAGGATATGTCTAACTAGCAATTAAACACCCCCAGCTGGCCAGGATCAGCAGACTTGGGCTTGGGCTGCAGGGCTGCAAAATAGCTATGTAGACATTCACGCTTGGGCTGGAGTCCAAGCTCTGGGACTCCACAAGGCGGGAGGGTCCAACTGAGCTGCTAAGAATTCTGAAGCAGCTTACTTCAGAGTAAAAGGAGGCCACATATTTTGTTTCAATAACCACAATGTTTAATTAATGTCAATCTTAGCAACTGAGAAACTTCCTTATTTTCAAGTGCTTACTTTTTTGATTTCTCAATGATGACAAACTAAACTTGTGTTCAACAAACAGTATTCTATACACGTCACAAATAATTAATTGTAAGACTAGCCCAAATATACAAAAGACTATTGAAAGCTTCCACCCAAAGAAGAACAAAAATAGAGTGGATCTTAAATAATGGAACAATCGAGTAGTTCTAAGCCTATGAGGTGCCAACAGCTGTCCAGGACTGGGTGGGCACAGAGGGATTCAAGGCTGCTCTCACATTCTAGTCTCCCGCCTTCTGCTAAAGCAGATTTGCTCAGTCGCCTAAACCGGACCTCCTCAGATGCCAAAAGCCATCCAGTGCACCAATGCCTATGGCTTTCCTTTGAACTACTCTGGGAATTCATGATGCACTACAGAGAGCATTTCAGAACTGAATGTCCAAGTGTGAGTGATTTGAAAAGACTGATAGCCCCAAATGCTACAGTAATGCACTTACATGGACCAGCTAATGAATGTAAAGAATAAAGTGCCGGAAGTACAACATCTTCTTTTTCTTGAAACTGTTTTAACACATTCAGTATGATCATGTGATCTTTGCTTTCAACAAATTCAGTCAGCTGCTCTTCTGGAACTAAATTGAAAAGCAAACAGAGACATAGTATGTTTTAAGGAAATAATATACTTATACAGCTTGGTATTAATTAAAAAAATTTTTTTTTTTTTTACAAAGTTTTCTGATATTTATTTTATTCTTTTTGCACAAGGTAAAGTGCTCTAGACACCAAAATCCTTTCAATAATTTAAGACTTGTCAGCATTGTCTTCCTTTGGTCTAGAACCTTTATGAAACAAGAACAAAGGAAATGGGAACCGTAACACCTGTTTTCTATCAAAAAACTTTGACTGCTCTGTTGCTTACTTAAGTAAGAGATCTTAAGGTCGAGCTGCAGCAGCAGCTGCACCACTGCAGTGTGTGTGTGTGTGTGTGTGTGTGTGTGTGTGTGTGTGTGTGTGTGTGTGTGTGTGTGTGTGTGTGTGTGAGAGAGACACAGAGAGAGAGAGAGAGAGAGAGCCGCCAACAGGAGAGAGCTCTCCTATCGGCATAAAAACCCACCCTCCTGAGAGACATAAATTTTGCCGATATGAGTGGTAGTGTAGACATAAATGGATTAACAAACTTGATCAGTTTCTCTTTTAGCATATGGTTGAGATGCAGTGTAAAGACTGTAATTTCCTTCATACATTAAAATTATGAGTTATTTCATATCATTGAATTTTAAGCAGAACTTTATTAAAACTAGTGATGAAGACTGCTTAAAAATCAATGTCACAATATGGTTTTATAGCTGTGAGCTCTAATAGAAAATAAAAGTATTTACAAAGAGGATCAAACCCTAAAGTTGTGTGGACATAATGACACATTCCATTTATTTTTTAGAATAAGCACTGGTATAACGTCATATCTTTTACTAGTTTTGTAGGCCTTTGCCATTGTACATGTCATGTATTAAGCATATCTGGGAATATAGTGTAGTAATTATGTACTAGAGCTTCTTACCAGTGCACATTGCATTAAAATATTGGTTGTTGTTTTAGAACATTATATTTGTATAAATGGATAATCCAACTTATATGAGTAAAAGTGCAAGAAAACATTAATTCTAACACAAAATTGTCAGCAGCAGCAGCAAATCAAACAAATGGAGTATGTGGTTTGCACTATTTCAGTTTATTTGTTCATGTGGCCAAATCCTATCAGTCACTTATTTTTTCCATGTTGAATTGATAACAAAATTCAGTGGGAGTTTTGTTTGGACTAAATTCTTTGCTCCTTTATCAAACAAATATAATAGTAATTATAATAAGAAATCAAATCCAAGAAAAAAATTGAAATAATTACATACATCACATTAAAACAACTACATGTATGACATATTAATATTAATTTAAATTTATACTTCCTTGTCACCAGAGACCATGATCAAAATTGAGATATCATTGTGCTAGATTTGTATAAGAACATGTGAAAATATATAGTCATTGTCCCTATTAGCTTAGACGACATTGACATATGAATGGTGGAGAGAGGAATACTAATTGTCTGATATTTTTATATATGTTCTGGCAGAAGCGGAGGAGTGAAGATTTGTTTATAGGTGTTGAGCAGACAGGGCGGCCGCCTCAGGTGCCAGACTGGAGGGGGGGGAAGAGGAGGGACACTAGGACCCAGAGTGTAGAAAATTGTGTCAGTTGCTGGTGCATATTATTCTCTCTGCTCTAGATGCACAGAGATGGTGGAGTGCTGTGCTGGAGGAAGGAGGGGACAAGAGACATAACAGGCAGGCAAGAAAAAAGGTGAGAGGGAATAACAGAAACCAGCAGGAGATGCAGGGAGAGAGAAGAGGAGGAGCCTCTTATGCAGGGCCGTCCTTACCCATACGCAAAGTATGCAGCTACATAGGGCACCAGAAAATTGAGGCACCAAATTTCCTGGTGCCCTGCGCAGCTGTGTGCTGTTCCAGCCCCTGCTCCAGCTCTTCCCCGGCCCCTGCTCCACCTCAGCCCCGCCTCTTCCAGCAGCATTCAGAAAAAGCAAGCAAGCAAAGGAAGCTTTTCTATCTAAGCAGGAAGGAGCTCTCCTGAGATACAGAGACACAAATGTTCACGGTGAGCCTTCTGGCCCCAGTGAGGATGTGAGTGGTAAGGAGATGCCTGATCTCCCAGTTAGTCAGAGTGCAGGTGACCTGGCAGCTACTGCAGCATCCATATCTCCATCTCAAATGGATGTAACCATGCACATTCATGAAGAAAAGTGTAGATCAGAGAAGAGTGTGGTGGAGGTGCAAGAAACAGCTGCTGCTGAGTTTAGTTCCTTAAGTTTAGATGATCCAGGACTGTGGACCCACTTGAGCAGTAGCCTGAGAGACGTCCTTGTACTGCGTGGGCCACAGCAAGTGAAAAGCTTCATGTTCTCCAAAGGCAATGAAAATACAAGTTTCCATCCAACACATTACTGGTGTGAAATCCCCAATGGTGACAAAGTGGAGAGGCCATGGCTTATGTACTCAAAATCCCAGAATGCTGCATACTGTTTTTGTTGCAAACTCTTCCAGTCTAATGTTCCAGCTACACTGGGTTCTACAGGAACAAAGGACTGGAAAAATCTGGCTAGAAATCTGGCATGCCATGAGAAGGCAGCAAATCACCAGAGAACATTCCATAGGTGGAAAGAGCTTGAGATGAGACTAAGGTTAAAGGCCACCATAGATGATCAGCATCAAAGTCTCTTTACTGGCAAAATGTTCTGAAAAGGCTCATTGCCATTGTGAGAATGCTTGCTACCCAAAACCTAGCACTGTGTGGCACTTCAGATCAGCTGTATGTGCCAAACAATGGAAACTTCCTTAAAATTGTGGAGCTGATGGCTGAGTTTGATGCTGTATTCCAGGAGCACCTAAGAAGAGTCACCACCGAAGAAATGTACACACACCACTACCTTGGAAAAACAATTCAAAATGAGATCATACAGTTACTGGCAACAAAAGTCAAACAGAAGATTGTGGCAGATCTGAAGTCAGCAAGATATTACTCTGTTATTCTGGACTGCAAACCTGACATCAGCCATACAGAATGTGGAAGCAGAGAAAGAACTGACAGGAAGGGGATGCAATGTATGACAGTTCGTTAGCAAGAGTCAGGCTAACTGTAACCCTAATAACACGAGATTTGTAGAAGCGAGGAATGTGTGAGGTGAGTGGGAAAGAACTGTGTGAGAAGTTGTTGCGACCTTGTGTAGATAATGTGTAGATAATATGGAATGTAGACTAAGTCTACATTAGTGAGCAAAACAAGATATCAGAATGACCTATGTATAAACAAAATGCAGCTGTTGCTCATTATTGTCTGTAACAAAAGGTATAAATGCTTGCTGTAACTGTTTACCTGTTGAAAGACCTGTTTAGCTCTCTCCCTCTACGCAATTGCTTGAGAAAATAAAGTATCTGACTTGCTGTACCCAAACAAAAAGTGAGAACTCTGTTATTCTCCGACAAGAACAAAGGACTTTAATGGTGTGTTTTAGAAGAACAACAGAACCTAGTGAAAATGTCCCTGCAATGATGACTGTCAGAGAGCATTTTCTAGAATTTATTGACATTGATGATACTACAGGAGCTGGTATGACAAATGTGCTTCTTAAAAAGATGGAAGATATGGGAATTGCGATAGCTGACATAAGAGGTCAGGGCTACATAATGGTGCCAACATGAGAGGAAAGAACAGAGGAGTGCAGACACGAATCCGACAGGTAAGCCCTCGAGCTTTTTTTGTGCCAGGCAGTTCTCATTCATTGAACTTGGTGATCAGTGATGCAGCATCAGCTTCTAGTGAGGCTGCTGAATTTTTTTAATGTAATTCAAAGCATCTATGTATTTTTGTCTCCATCAACTCATCGATGGCAAATGTTGAAGCAACATCCTCTCTGACACTAAAACCACTGAGTGCCACACGATGGGAATGTTGAGTGGAGGAGATAAAGCCTACCAAACACCAAATTAGGAAGATAGATGATGCCATAGTTGCCATTATGGAGGATAATGCTATTACAGTGTTTGTGGGAGAACAGTGGCAGAGGGAAATGGAATCACCAGAAACATACATAAACTTTAAATTTCTGTGTGGCTTAGTGTTGTGGCATGACATACTGTTTGAAATAAATGTTGTAAGCAAGAGACTCCTCAAGGTGTTCACCTTGATATATCTGGAGCAATGGAACAACTGGACAAAGCGAAGTCATACCTACAGTCTTACCGGTCAGATGAGGGATTTCAAAACGTTCTGAAGAGTGCACAGAAGTTGGTAGAGGAACTTCACACTGAAGCTATTTTCCCACCCATTCAAGAATATAAAAGAGTCACCGAAGAAGACGACATTTTGATTACGAGGCACGGGATAATCCCATAAGAGACCCCCAAATAACAATTAAAAGTTGAATTCTTTAACTAGGTGCTAGATTGTGCAATACAGTCAGTTGAAGAACATTTCATGCAGCTCAAGGAACACTGCAGTATATTTGGGATGTTGTATGATATTCCAAAACTCCTCACTCTACCTGAAGAAGACCTACACCAGCAATGCAGGGCACTAGACACAGTGTTGACACATGATGACATGCGCAATATTGATGCGAGCGTTTTAGGTGATGAACTGAAAGCCCTTTCAAGATACATTTCAGCAAGATCAACTCCAAAGGCTGTTCTGGAATATATGCGCACAAATAAGATGACCACCCTCTTTCCAAATGATTTTGTTGCTCTGCACATACTTATAACACTTCCTGTAACAGTTGTCAGTCGAGAACACAGCTTCTCCAAACTGAAGTTAATAAAAACACATCTACGCTCCACAATGACACAGGAGAGGCTGGTTGGCCTTGCAACCATCTCAATAGTGCATGAGCTGGCCCAGACTGTGGACCTTCAGGAAGCAGTTCAAATCTTTGCAACCAAGAAGGCACGGAAAGCACCACTTTGATTATTCAAACAGATAAAAATGCCAGTGTTTACTGTGCAGATAAGTAAAGTTACATTTTCTGTTCAGGCATTTGAAAGTTAAGTGTTTAAGTTTGTTAGTTCTCCTTTATTAGAGTAGGTAGCAGAGCAGTACCATGAGAGGAACAGAACAGGAAGAAGGCAGAATTGAGACCTTTCAAAGTTTTGGCCCAAGCGAGGGGGCATGGGGATTTCATTTGAGCTCCCCGCTTCAGGTGCCAAAATGTTGTGGGCCGGCCCTGTGAGCAGAAATAGTTGTGGGTTCAGTAAGGGTGTTGCATTTCTTAAAATTAACTTTAAAACAAGATGCTTCATTTTGATTCAAGACCTGCTTTAATAATATCATGATCTATCAAAACCAGCTATGGCAAGTAAAAACTATTTTGCAGGTTTTCAGTACATAAAGATTTTCTTTTTCTGAATACATTAAAATAACAAACGATTATACAGTAAATGTGAAAGTCTTCAAACCTTTAGCAATTTCAGAAACAGAAATAATCAGAATCACAACTATTCTGAACTGAAAACATTTACACATGAACATTGGACTGACTTTTAGCTTTTTAGCAGCACTAAAGTCAATGGAGTATTTTCTTGTATGATCTTGAAAGCTGGGTTTTGTATTGATTCACCCAATCAACTGAGGTGTGATCCTTTCTTTACTTATATAAAAATATAACAGTTCAGAACTCATAGCATGTATTTTTGCAGCTAGGTATTCATCTTTAGTTTATTCCCAAATTATGAGTAATTTCATCTTGATAAACTGCAAAATATAAATACCTTTCTCAAAAAGCATGTGCAAAGTTTTACATCCATATTGCTGGATTTCTTCATTGTTTGGGAAGGTTTGCATAGCATCAAACACCAACAAAAATACATCTGTCTCTTCATCCAAGAGCATAATTGTAATTATATCTATACAGGAGAGGAGAGAATGAGACGTGATTATATTCTGTACTAAGCTACGTTGATCATTTCTATCTGAAGCACAGTACTTGATTACAAATTATTTCATACTGTCTTTTAAAAAGTGTTAGTTTTGTTCTTCACTATGATGGGCCAAATCCATGTGTTGGTACAGCAAATATGGGTTTCCCAGAGTCACTTGCTGTCACTAGGCTCAATCCTTCAGTTCCTATGCAGGCAAAACTCCCAAAGGAACCATTGCCTGTATAAGGACTGAAGTATCAGGCCAACTGCTTGTATTATAAAGAACAAAAAATGCTAACGGCATTTTCTACATGTCTTAAACCCATTTTGTTTTAAATTAACATGGGTTCTTTAAAAGCCTATGATAAACTCTGTCTTGTGGTGAAAGTGTCTAGTAAATAGGTGATCATGTAAAACAACTCATCAGAAGGCCAGAGTTAAAACAGCCTTGCAAAACTGCATGCAACTACTCACCTATGGCAAGTGATTTTTCTGATGGATGAGTAAAATATGATTAGGTTCTTTCATGATAATCATTATCATGGGAAGGGTGTATTTTTTGCTGGACTAATATATTTTCATGACAATTTTTCAAGGTTGTGTTAATGAAAAGTATGATTCATTATGCGTACTATTTCAGTTGCAGCTAATCTGTTCTATTTAGAACCTATAGTATATATAGAATGTATAGTCCTACAGCTCTGCATTCTCTTGGCCAGGCAGTTCTAACTGGAGTATAATTAAAGTATACACACACATTATATAAGGGTAAAGTTTGATTAATCAATTACATCTACTGTATCACTGGGAGGAACAGTATCAGTAAGAAATAACCTATGATAGAATAACTAGTTGATAGCTTAGGAGCATTGTGACATATGAGACTGAGGGAAAACTGCTAGCAGTAGTCATTCATTAATGGCCATATTTTGCCATCATTATTGTTCATATTGAGTAGTACCTTGGTCTGCAAATAGGGCCTGACCTAAAACTTGTTAAACTCAATGGATTGACTCCCACTGGCATCAAAAGGCTTTGGATCAAGCCCATAGTCCTCACTACAGTGGAACCTCTAATTTATGAGCTAATTGGGGATTGAGGAATTCATAAAATTGAAAAATTCATAAAACTGAACATCTCAAAATTACAGTAGGTACGGTGCCTAACTTGCAGTATGATGCATTGCATTGCTTTCTTCTTGTTCTTCAAACCACTGAAAAGTTATTTCCAATGCACGGAAGACACCAGAATGTGAAGGGATGTTGACTTGTTCTTCAACAATGTCACTTTCATTATGTGATTTTTTTTTCATTGGGAAAAATGGTCCTATAACAAACTGTTTGTAAAATAGGTGTTCATAAAATTGAGGTTCTACTGTATATGCACAGTAAGATATTACTCAGTGAGAGTAAGGGTGGCAGAATATAACCCTTGGGATACCCATTAATTTCAGTGGGAGTTCAAAGAGTTCAGCATCTCACAGGAAGCTCTCAGGATGTAGCAGGATCAGGTTGTTAGTGAGCAGAATGATAGAAATTACTGTGTCTCCGAGAGAGTCTGATTTTTTCAGAAATACTAGCTATTACAAATGGAAGTAGGTCAGAATCAGTTAAACTTGCCCTTCCAGTTAGTAAGAAAAATTACTTAACTACTGAGCAAGCATCTGTTACTATGCTAATGCTGATGGTTCTGAACAAAAATTCTTAGAAGCAAAAATGAAAGTCTATATTCTCCATTGCCTTGCAGCCAGTGGAGTTATATATACCTGTGCAAAGTGAGTGCAAAGTAGGTACAAAATACTACTATTACAATTTTGTAGCATTTACTCCTACTTTGCACGGTGCACGGCAGAGAAGAATCAGGCCCAATGTGTCGAATAACCCATTTTATATTATAGTCTACAATTAAAAATATCATACCAATTAGGAAAGTAAAATGCATAATACCTGAAGAGAGTAGTAGATTTAGTGCCTTGAGTCCTATTATCAAGAGGTTTCTGTTTGCATTGTGGATAGTAAGCATTTTAAGAATATGCCTAAAATGGAAAAAAAAAATATTAAGACTAATTAAATGTTAGTTCAAAGTATACCAAATACAGATATACAGCAAACACTTGCTTGAAGAAATAGAATTTTTTTAACCTAGGGAAAAGTTTTTAAAGCCATTTTTAGCTCTGACTCAAAGAAATTTTATACCTTTGTCAGTTTAGTTTTTTAAGCCATCAATGACCATAACTAGTTTTTGATATTTTATTTTTATATATTATACTTTGTTTATTGATACTGTACATCTTTTAAAAAAAGAAAAAGAGATGTAATGATAGACAATTACATAACAAAATAGAACGAGATAAAAGGACCCTTGTAAATCACTAACTGCTGAGGAACAACTTCTGCCGTTAGATACACATGCACAATTCCCACTGAAGTCAATGGGGACATATATGCATGAGAGCAGAATTTGGCCCTATGGGAGTAAAATGGTAAAAAGAAAAAAGGGATACAAGTCATACCAATATATACATAAAAGATATTTTACCAAGGAAGATAATAGGCCACATGCTGCTGGGTTTACCTGCAGAGCAACTGAGTAATTTTCCTCACAAATTTGAGTTCCCTCACAACTGTCCCACCTAGGAGAAAGGAATTCACTACCCTGCCTAGAACAAATGGTTCCCCAATATCCAGCTTTAGACTCCCTGGAGGACAGGCATACCGGCATGGAGTCCCAAGGCCTTTGCACAGCTCGCTGGTCTTCCCTCTCCCTCACCATAGTATGATTCGCAGCATGGTTCAACCCACAGTGACTTCTGGACACATTTTCCCCTGGAAATCACAGGGTCCCAGAGGAATATGCTGAGGGAGATTATCTGGTTCCCAGCTTTTCCTGCCCCTTTCTCCAGACCCATCTCTTTGAGCCGAAGAGTCCCAATCCAATAGAGTGGTACCGCAATGTCTAGGAGCCAGGGATGAGCTAGCAGCAGAGCAGGTACTACCTCATAAGTTCGGGGTGTCTTCAGCCACAGTTTACAACCCTCCATACCACACACCAAAGTAATATGTGTAGTAGTGTTATTTATAAAGTGAAATTTCTAGCTTTCCTATATTCTATGTCAGTGGCATACATCTGAAAGCAACTACCATATATATTGGATTTGTGTACCAATTTGCAGTGAACTGAGATACTGTCTTGACCCATTACAAATCCAATAAACACCAGGCCCGTGTAGGCTTCAGGTGACCATTGCATAACCTATGGATATAGAAATTTAGGCTTGGATCAAGTGCACTATTTGGGTCATTCTTAACAGTGGAAATCAAGCTTCAGTTAAAGATAGTCTTGATATTCATGAGAAAAGATGTCACATTGCACCTGCAATATTATTCATTGATCTCTTCTGTCGGACTTAAGAGGGGCACATAAGGACTTATACAAGTCCTCTACACTGAGGCAGAGACCTCAGACAAATTTTTAGTTGGTCTGAATGCTGGGGAGATGCTTGGAGGGAAGGAAAATATTCTCCCTTCAAACTTGTAGAGTAGCTCCACAGACTTCCCAGAGGATACTTCAACCCAGTGCCTGAAGTACCATAGTCCTGAACATCCCTAATGCACCTCATTGTGGAGGAAAGCCAGATCCTTTTATCCAATTTCTCCCTTGTCCATATATGTCCCACACCTTGAATGCACGGAGAACCCAGAGTTGGCCCATATGACTCTGCTCAGCCTCCTGAAATCCAACCCCCTCCTTTGTACAGCAGACCCTCACCAGCTCTAGTACAGGAAGGGAAATGGAAATTAGGTTTGCCCCTGTGTGTTCTGGACATTTCACAGCAGGTGAGCAGTGCCAAACAATAAATCTCAGCTCTGAAGTACCTACATTCTAAAGACATGAGTTGGTTCAGTATAGTGCCACACAAAACAAACACAGAATGGGGCATGGTTATTAAGATCAAAAGATTGAGCAATGCACAAAGAAATTCTCCACACATCCTCTCATCTCAAAAGTAATTGAAAGAGAGGAAAGTTAAACACTTTCACCTCATTTACTGTATAACCAACTTAATGTCAAAGATTACAAAAGCTCTGGCAAAAGGTTTGTGAGCATTTAGAAAGAGCCCAGATATGCTGAGAGAATTTCCTTATTTTTTCTTTTTTGAGAGTTGTTATATAAACTACTTATCAACGTATCAGTCAAGATGTGAAAAGTTGCTTCAATTGCTGCATTGTTTTTTGTAACAGTTAATATACCTTGGTTGAGCTAGAAAGTGTTGTGAACCAATTAGTCAAATTAATTATTATAATTATTCATTTGTCATACTGTAGCAGATACCAGACCTTATAATGGATCAGGACCCATTGTGCTAGGTGCTGTACAAACACAGAGTAAAAAGACAGTCCCTGCCCCAGAGCACTTACAATCTATGTCAAAATTTCTAACTTAAAATTTCTGTTTTCCAAAAATACACAAAGGAGTAGCATCTTACAGTACAAATCAACTGTATATAAATTATGTTTTCATCTCTAGCCTATCTGCATACTGCCCCTCTGCAACCATCAGGCAGTTGATGCAACAGCACTACGGTACATACCAGACACTCCTACAAAGAGCTCTAAATATAACAACTGATTTGCTCTGTCTTCGGCACTAACGAAAAAAGATGCTAGGCTTACCTCCTTACCAAGTACTAGTTTCTCTAGTCATGCTTTCAGATAGGACTGTGCAGAATTGGCCAAAGTATTTATAGTGGTAAGAAATGATGTTTGGTGATGTCAGCAGCATGCCCTACTGCTCATGCTCAGAAACAGATTGTGTCTAGATAGGAGCTTTGCTTCTATTGTCATTATTATGTGGACCCTTGGGAGGCTTGTGTGACTAGATCACGAGAATAGGGATCAGCTTTCTGGAGTCCAAGAACGAATGACAGTATTTACTGCCACTGTTATACCACTCCTCTTAGAATTTGGCCCAGTCACTCAACAAGGAGTCTTTAAAATACTAAAGAAATCTGAACTATCCCATATGGGTTCAGTCATTGTCCTTCCTGACTTGTGGAGCACCTGGTATGGTTACAAACAAAAACTGTCAATGCCTTCTTAAAGGCATAGACTCCATAGACAGTGACTTATTTTTTTCCCAGTGGTGCTCCACCCCAAAGCCCCACCCCACTCCTCCCCTTCCTCCAATGCCCCGTTCTTGCTCTACCTCTTCCCACCCCCACTCCTCCCCCTTCCCTGAAGTCCCTCCCTCACTCCACCTCTTCCTGCCCCTGCTCTCTGCCCTCCCCCAAGCCTCTTCCACAGCCATCAAACAGCTGATCGGCAGCGCCACGAACAGCTGTAGCTGGTGGGTACTGAGCACCCACTATTTTTTCCCCATGCATGCTCCAGCCCCGGAGCACCCACGGAGTTGGCACCCACGATTAACTATATAAACAATCTATCATCTACCATATAAAGTTATAGTCCAGCCATTGCATAATAAACTATAGTTTGATGCAACTGATCTTACCAACTACATCCTGGTACCCTTCTTGAGAAAAGAAATGGGGAAGATTGGAAAGAGCGCTCACCTGACCTGTGATATTGGACCTTCCCAGTTACATATTTGACCACACTAGTGAACTATCTTTTCTTAACCTTAGATGAGGAACATACCTCCCTACCCATATTACTGCATCAGTTGGCTGCATTTGACAGCTTAAATCCTGAGATGCTGCTGTTCCATCTTAAAGAGCTAGCAAGACTGATGGAAACTCCATGAAGTGGCAGAGATCCTTCCTCTCAAACTCTACCACAAGGTGACTGCACTTCTACCTTCCAAGTTCTTGTAGAATTCCACAAAACTTTATCTTCTTCCCAACTTAAGATATGTGTAACTGCTAGGTGAGTTCATAAAATGCCCTAATCTGCCAACAGTATGTAGATGTCACAGAACTATATTTCTTTCACTCTGAATGCTAAGAATGGAATCACCTGGCTGTCGTAGTACCTAAATGAGATGAGTGCTCGGATGCAGTAGTTTGCTGATGACGAACCCGGGGAAAATGGAGGTAATGCTGGTGAGAAGAATAAATCAATTTGAAGACCTAGCGAATATTGTAATATCACCCTCTTTCTAAAATGTTTACCCACATATTGTCAGAATGGTTCGGAAATGCCTTCATTTGCCTTTGGCCGGTCAAGAGACATTTCCACATCCTGCCAAATGAGAACCTAGTGACAGTTCATGCTTTTAAGACTTCCAGGTTTCTAATAGTAAAGCACCGTATTTAGGAATGAAAATACTTAACAATTCCAGCTGGTTCAACAATTACTATCTTAGCCTACCTACTAAACACACCGATCACTATATAGGCTCCTCATATAATCCTGAATCAAGTTAATTTCAAAGAGGTTTTCTAATATGGGAATGGCAATCAATGATACAGCAGTTTACTTGTTCACTTTCCAATAAATCTTTTTATAAAAGTATTTTTTCCTCTTTGCTATCCTAGTTTTTGTCCATTAGATCCTGTTCCAAACAACATTTGAATCTTCACCTAAGTCTTATGATGTAACTCTAGTGCATTTTTTTTACTTTGCATTACTATATGATAAAATTGTAATAACCAAGTTAAAAAGTTAATCTAGAACAATTACTTAATGTGTTAGAAAACACATTTTTCTCCTACTTTCTTCTTCTAGAAGAACTCTAAGAGACATTTTGCATACAATATTTGTTTGTAAAATTTATGTACTTACTGATGAACACCAAGTACTTCCCAATCCCTTCCAACATCTTGAGGAGCTATGTTACATAGAGTGGCTGGACACACTTCTATTAATTTACAAAGAAGCGACCAACCCACCTGGAAAATAAAAATGTAGTTATTTTTCAACAGACATGTCAACTCTCTTACTTGTGTCCCTTCTCTGATGAAGAGATATTCTACTTTAAAACATAAACACTGTTTCCGATTCCCCTTGCATACAGGAAAAAGGATGATCTAGCTCATAACACATATTCCCTGATCTGAAAACCTAACAACCTAAACAAGATACGATGAACTAACAGAAGACAAGGTAGAGGCAGGGCCGGCTCTGGCTTTTTTGCCTTGGGCGGCCAGAGCCCCGGGGGGGAGGGTGGCGAGCCCCGGCGGGGGCTCCGCTCTCCTCCCGGCGGCCGGGGGGAAGGCACGGGGGGAGGGTGGCCAGAGCGCCGGGGGGAGGGCCGCAAGCCCAGCTGTGGCCCCGCTCTCCCTGGCGGCCGGAGCGCCGCGCCGCCCCCCTCCAGGTGCCGCCCCAAGCACCAGCTTGGGTGCTTGGAGCCGGCCCTGGGTAGAGGACACACAAAAAACTAGCTGCTCAATAATATGCAAATTCCTTGAACCTGAAATACCTCTGAGAATAAGATACCCAAGGCCTAATTTGAAAAAGGTTCCTTATTTTACCCATCTCATGTTGGAGAAAAAACACTAATAAATGTTCCTAGTTTATTAGGAAAACTTGCTAGATCTCAGATGTGTAGGCTCACATATTGAAAAAGCATATTAGCGGCTTGATTACAGTCTATAAGTATCTATATGGGGAACAAATATTTTAAAATGGGCTCTTCAATCTAGCCAAGAAAGGTATAACACGATCCAATGGCTGGAAGTTGAAGCTAGACAAATTCAACTGTAAATAAGGAGGAAATTTTTAATAGAGAGAGTAATTAACCACTGGAACAATTTACCAAGGTTTGTAATGGATTCTGCCATCACTGACAATTTTTAAATCAAGATTGGATGTTTTTGTAAAAGCTATGCTTAGGAATTACTTTAGGGAACTTCTATGGCATGTGTTATACAGGAGGTCAGACCAGATGATCACAATGGTCCCTTCTGTCCTTGGAATCTAGGAATCTATTCAAAATATATATAATATTGCATGCCACATATCAGGCCATAGAACCATGGACGGTGGAGCCTTCCCAAAAATGGGGGGGGGGCAGGAGCCCCTGCCCCCTCTGTGGCCCTGCCCCGCCTCTTCCCCGAGGCCCCACTCCTGGCCAAGCTGGAAGCTGGAGCTGGGCCAGGGAGCCTGGGCCCCTCCACCTGCCTGGGGGGGGAGGGGGAGGGGGAGACAGCCCGAGAGCAGCCCCCAGTCTGTGTCTCCAGCCCTGGGACCACCACCCCCATCCAGGGCAACTGGAGGATCCGTGGCTCCCCATAGCTCCAGCTGCCGGCCTGGCCAGGGGGTGGGGCCTGGGGGAGGGGAAGAGGAGGGGCAAGGCCAGTGGCAAAAAGTGGAAGGGCCATAAACCCCTGGTCCCGCCCCGTTCCAGCACTCCTGCATATAACATATTACATTTGATTGAGAATGCAAACACTTAAATGCTAGACTAACTTTGTCTAACAAAAGGGATTTAAATCACAGCACAATTTGATCCTATGTATTAACAAGAGATGTTACTTATCTACAATTATATTATAAAATTTGTAAGTCTGGCTTTTATATTTCATTTTTAAATGTTAATTTTGTGTCCAGGACTGGTACTGGATTGTGATCCCTGGAGACTGAAATCCTCCATTAATCCACAGAACAGGAAGGGCATAGAGAGCAACAATGCGAACTCCTCCACTCAAACAAATGTGTCATAACCCTGAAGTAAAGGAAGCACCTCTTGGCATGAGTGGGGAGTTTGGTTTCCATAAAAATTCAGCTCTTGGCCTCTCCTCTGATACTGACAGCAAGGGTATCATTTGTTGTGGGTGATTTTGCATTTCAGCTATGTCGTCACTTGGAGGACACCAATTCATTCCATAATTGGAGATATGTGTATATATATATATATATATACACACATACACATACATATACATACACACACACACACACTTTTGTTACCTAATTCTCCATAATCGAGATAAAAATACAATTAATAAGGGGCAATAACTAAATTATCACTTTCAAACCAACATAGGTTCCTTCAGAACATTCTTTCCACATCAGGCTCAACCACAAATAGAACGCTGGATTGTGCCTGGACCTGAACAGGTGCAAGAAGGTTCAGAAGGAGGAGATGGTGGAAAAGGGAGAAAGCACAAGAACCTCCCTCCCCTTTGCACATGTGTGCAAGGATTGCACAGAATCTGTCCCTATAGTCCTCTAAATGCAAGAACTCCACAAGACCCTCACTCTCAGTGGTTCTAACATATGCAAAATGAATGAAGAAGAGGGCAAAGAACGCCATCGTCCCACATAGAATGGGAAAAATGAATCCAGCATTCTTGCAAAAGGTGGCATAGAAGCTATGCTTCCTAGAGGCGTTGTTTCTGAATCAGACAAAATGCCACCCTGAGCTCCTGATGCACTTCCCACACCATAGGACTATGTGCCTTAAAGCCACAATAAAGCCCTAAGAAAAGTTAATTCTGTCTATGTAGCCAAAAAGTATTCTTTTAAATACTTATGTAATGTGTGTTTCATAAAACTGATCATTTCAAGTATTGTCTGGTTCTGTGAAAAACAAATACTGATGACTTGTTAATGTCAATTTTGTTTTAATTATGAGTCATGTTTAAATGTAAAAAATGTCACAAAAGATAACATGATTTCAGAGGTCTGCAACAGTAAGCCATACATAGTTACAGAACAAACTGGAAATAACATAAGGCTTTTATGTTCAAAACTCGTCTTCCCTTTTCCAGCTGCTGAACTAAGTATAGTTTACTGGTCACTAACGAATGTGTCTGCATTGCTTAACAAAGACTGTATATTGAAAGTCTCCCATCCCCCATCTAATTCTATTGTTCTTTATAAAATGTAGAGCATTATAAAAATTAGCTTTATGCCTCGGTTTTTTTAGTTCCCCCTTCTTGTTCCCTAAAACATTTTCCTTATAAAATAATAAATAATTTGGTATGATACAAATCTAAATTTTAACGGCAAGTACTGATAAATGTTTTCAGTAAGGACACAGTACACACTGAAAAATGCCAAAGCAAGCATCTAATGTGCTAATACAGGGGTGGGCAAACTACGACCCGTATCCGTCCCACCAGCTGTTTTAATCTGGCCCTCAAGCGCCTACTGGAAAGCGCGCTCTGGGGCTTGCCCTGCTCCAGCACTCCAGCCAAAGAGCAGGGTCGGGGGCCACTCCACGCGGCTCCCGGAAGCAGCCGCGTGGCCCCACTCCAGCACTCCAACTGGGGAGCAGGGTTGGGGGCCGCACCACACAGCTCCCGGAAGCAGCGGTATAGCCCCCCCCACCACGCGTAGAGGCAGCCAGGAGCCTCCGCTCGGCATGCTATCCCCGCCCCAAGCACCACCCCTGCAGCTCCTATTGGCCGGGAACCACAGCGTACAGAGCCGCCTGGCCGCGTCTCCACGTAGAAGCCGGAGAAGGGACATGTTGCTGCTTCCGGGAGTTGCTTGAGGTAAGCGCCACCCAGAGCCTGCACTCCTGAGCCTCTCCCCATGCCCCAACCCCCTGCCCCAGCCCTGATCCTCCTCCCGTCTTCCAAACCCCTCGGTCCCAGCCTGGAGCACCCTCCTACATCCCAAACTCCTCATCCCCAGCCCCACCCCAGCCCCCGCACTCCTAGCCAGAGCCCTCACCCCACCCCGCACACCCCTCATTTCTGGCCCCACCCCAGACCCCGCACCCCCAACCAGAGCCCTCACACCCTCACGCACCCCAACCCAAATTTTGTGAGCATTCATGGCCCACCATATAATTTCTATTTCCAGATATGGCCCTCAGGCCAAAAAGGTTGTTCACCCCTGTGCTAACATAAGATCCCTCTTGCAATGTTGATCTCAAACCCCCAGGGCTTTTAGGGTTCTTAGCCTTTGTCTAGTAACACTGTAAGCAAATGATTGTATCTTAAATAATTGTCCAAAAGCCTAAAGCCTAAATTGAAAGGAAAATAAATAAAGAAAGATTCTTACAGGTACTAAAGTGGATCATTTACATAAGGCCCCATTTGGTGGCATTACTAATATTCTGTTATCTTTAAATTGGTTCCATTTTCATTACTAGTATGCGTAGTGAATTGAGGCAGTAATGTTTCAATGATAGCCATTCACTTACTTGAATTTAAATATGTCTTGTCCTCTACTATTTAAGCAGCATCAATCTGTGACAGTCAGTGATTGCAGAAACTGTAATTGTTACAGTACTTACTAAATATGGTATCTGTTCTGTCTAAGGCATTATTATTTTTGACTTTTTAGAGATCAATAACTTTCCCACTGTTTGTAGAGAAGTTTGTGAGGTCTGTATTAGTAGTCCAACTTGCCTTGGTATCTGCAATACTGATCTACTAAGAAGCTGAGGTTCACTTTGTATGAGTTGATGATACAGCAGCAAACCACTGTGTGGCAAGCTGAGCCAGAAGGAAATATGTTAATCAATCCAGACACTGCCCTTACTCAGACAAATCTCAAAACACAAATCAGAAAGAGCTAATGATCCATTAACCTGTGCATTGAAAAGCAGTTGTTAGTGTAGACATGCTGTAGCAAAATGGAGCGTCTACAGTAACCCCTCGCTTCACGTTGTAGTTGTGTTCCTGAAAAATGCTACTTTAAGCGAAACGACGTTAAACAAATCCAATTTCCCTACAAGAATTAATGTAAATAGGTGGGGTTAGGTTCCAGGAAAAAAAATTCTCCAAACAAAAGACTATCTATCTGCAATATTAGCCAATAGGTTGAAAGAGACACACACACACACACACAAGTTTTAAACGAACAATTTAATACTGTACACAGCACTGAGGATTGTGAACCTTGGTTGAGGTGGTGGAGTCAGAGGGTGGGATATTTCCCAGGGAATGCATTACTGCTAAATGATGAACTAGCATTCAGCTGAGCCCTCAAG